AATAAATACGTACATGTTATGCACTTAATTAGTAAAGTAAGAGGTGTCAATACATAAGTTCGGTTTTTGACATTTAAGCTGAAAGACAACTATATTAAACATAGCATTTCTGCAAGTGTTAGGTGTATGTTCTTTGCCATGAATATGTGATTAAAACCCAACTTAGAGGGTGTTTGGGATTGCATTTGAAAATAATTTATAGCTTCTACTTTATTAAAACATAATTTTAAATGTTTGCTAATCTGCTTTAGCGTATAAATTATGGCTTTAGAAGTTAAAATTAAGGTCTAGAAGTGCTTTCTAGCAAAGCTAAGAATACATGTTTTCTGCTTCTAAATTATGACTTCTACTTTTACATAACTCACCGCACTCCCAAACACCCTCTTAACTTCCCTCATGTTATTGTTCGAGTAGTTCACATTTCTTTGGATGAAGCTGTATCCATTTCCCTTGCAATTTTAATGTTCATTTCATAAATAAATAAAGGATAAACCTCGTCTCGAGGACCTCTTCAGATCCGGTCAAGCGGTTCCTAAGTAAGTTGAATTTTAATTGCATATTGGTAGTAAAGAATGAACCATGCACATGATATTTACAGAGACCTTATGTTTAGCATAGTTGTCTCCCAACACAATTACCAAGAATCGAACTCGGATCTTAATTCTTTGGCACTTCTTGCCTTGTCAAGTCCGAAACGCCCACCAACTTAATAATGTTCATTTTATCAAATTACAAAGTACTATGTCGTTTGATTTGCCCTTATTTTCGTACTACTCTCGTCTCATATTATTTGTCTGATTTTTGATTACTCCCTCCGTCCATATTTTATTCCCACTTTCCTAATTTATCCGTCTATAAATTAACTTCCTGTTTCTTTTTTTGTCAAATGTTTTTTTGTTTATACCACACTACTGGCTCATTAATGACTATCCATACATACACTTTATTTAACTTTTTGCAATGATTCAAGGACAAATATGAAAAGTCAAAACATATTATACTTTTCATTAATTTCAATGTAAAGTCAATGCGAGAATATGATTTTTGGACGGAGCGAGCATTTAAAATCAAAAATTAGAAAACTTTGATCATTAATTAAATATAATTTATACAGATTATTAGATATTGGTTCAAGAATAATTTTATTATATTTATCTTGTAATTTTAAAAATATAATTTTATCTAATTAATATACCATATATTTTTTATTTAAATATATGTCTAAGGCCGAATTTAATTGACTACAAAATGTCAACTAGGACAGATGGAGAACGTTGTAGTGGTATTTTTAATGTAATTTTCATTTTTAAATTTAACATTTTTTTTGAAAATAAATAAATTAAAAATTAATTTAATTAATCATTTTAATTTACGGACAATTTCTTTTGGATACAGAAGGTTCTCAAAGGCTTCAAGTTGAGCCCGTTTGGTAACAATCACAACATTAAACTTGTGCGTTTTAAAAAAATTATACGGAAAGGCCAATGCGAAAAATCAAAGCTTTGCCGACCGATTACCTAATTCTAGTATCTTCAAAATCCTCTTTTGCAAAAACTTTATAAACTTCATGTTTTCTTTGTGGGGAGTCTAATATAAATACTTTCTTTGGTCATAAAAATCTTTCTTGTTTGGACTTTTTATACTTAAATAATGATACTCTTTGATCATTAGTCAAACATAATCTAGATAAATAAGCGATATAAAAATTTGATATATCAAAATTATATATTAAGATGAAATGAATTATATTGAATTTATATTATAATTAAATATACTTTTCTCATAATTTATGATAAAAAATGTCAGTGTTTGACCAAAAAGCTTTTTAGGACCAAAAAGAGTATGATATACCACATCTCTCAATCACACTTTGTGGGGAGCCAGTATCTCTACTTCTACTGGAGCTCGAATTAGAATGAAATTCTTTTTAAATTCGGGAAGTGGACATTGGACCACTTAATCTAAGGGAGAAGTTCACATCTAATTTTTAACTAAATATTGTTGAATAAAATGATATGCTTGAAGAGGATCTCCAACCCAAGTGCTTCCCATAATATCTTGTTAAAGCATCTAGTGCTCATCCATGATAGATGATGACATGGATTGCTTGGGAGGATATGGTTGCTTCCTAGAGCATCAATGCTTCCCTCGAAAAAAGTAATTTTATATTTTTATGCATTAATTATTTAAAATAAGACTCTCCCTATTTAGATTACAAAATGAGAATGACAATGTAAAATTTTATGATTTTTGAAATCATTTTATTTAGAAATTGGTACATCAATTAGAAATAAAAATTACAAATTAAAAAATTACCTCCAAAATTCTACAAAATGAGATGTGATAAGAATATTTTATTTTATCAAATAATTAATGAAAACACACAAATAAACAAAATTTATCGAGAAGAGTAAAAATAAAATTATAATCAAAATGGAAATGGGAGGAGTAAGGAAAAATCGGAAAGAAATTCATTGGACGCATTTTTGGGCTGTGGCTCTAAACACATTCTACTTCCCAAAAAAAAATGTAGCCTTGTCCAATCTTGAAAAGCCTTGTCGACGGTAATGAATAATGGGCAAGAAGCCCATTTTCTCGATCCAACCAAATAGTATGCGAACGGGCCGTGACGACCCAGACTAATTAATAATGGCAACTAGTTTATGACTTCCTGATTTTATTTTACTTTTGATTTTTTTAGGACTAATAATATTAGTCCGTATTATTCTATAAATTATAGAATAATTTATAATTTATAAAATTATTTTATTAATTTTTAATCACATAGATTTTATATTTGCAACCCAATTTTCAAATAAATTATATTAAAAATAATTTTAATCAAGTATCGTAAACTGAAATAGACAATTTAAAACGAAACAAAGGGAGTACAATTGAAGTATGGGTTCATACATATTTTCTTAACATATTGAAGGACTGAGACTTAACCATCCCCTCAGATCTGTTCAAATACTGAGAGAATGTAAATTTGACTTTGATCTCAAATTGGTGGCAGGGAGTGGAGCATGCAATTGATGGTTGATATATACATAGACTACATATTTAGTATAGTTGTCTCTCAACGCAGTTAAATATATCTTCTTGGCAACTCCTACCATTGCCAACCATGTAACCCCCCACCAACTCTACTCGAGAATAAGAGTTTTAGAGTTTAGAATTTATGATTGAACCATAATTTTTTAGGGTATCATCCATACCCTCAGAGTTTTTTCTGCATTGCATTTTAAAATATAATGAATTATAAAGTAAAACTAATGTATTAGGGAGTATCATTATATTTACTATTTAAGGAGTAGATTTCTTTTGATACCAATTATGGGGAAACACTGGTTTCTTTGTTTTAATCCCTATTTTATATACAGCTCATAATATCAAAAATATCCATTTAAAGTCATTAAAAGCATGAATAATTTTTTTTCTTGCAGAAACAAAGATATAAATTACAACACAAGAAGTCATGAAAAATAGTGAAATTGTAAAACTTTAGAGTGTAAAATTAAAAAGAATAAAATTGTACTCCGTATTGTAAAAAATCAAAAAAACAACTTTAAAATACTAAAATCTGTTGAACTAGCTGTCAATATTAGCGAAATGCCCTCGCAAGTTTGCATATACTCTTCACTTGAAACGAAGCAAATGTACTAAGTGTGGGAAATCCATATTTCTCCCATTTTACACTATGTTTGGTTCAAGAAATTTGAAAATGAAAAGAAAATAATTTGAGATGGAAAACATTTTTTTTGTTCAATTAGAGAGGAAAAAAAAGAAAATTGAAAGAAAAAGAAAATGAGAAGGCATAATGTAGAAAGAGGAAAGAAAATCAAATTCTTCCCATTTTGGAGTGAAAAATGAGAGAAAATCATTTTCCTTTCTTTTCCTTTTCAATTCCTTGAACCAAACATAGTGTTAGTGAGTAAAATGAGAGAAAATCATTTTCTTTTCTTTTTTCTTCTAAATTCATTGAACCAAACATAGTGTAAGCGAAATGGAATTAAAATTAAACTATGAGCAAAACATTAAAAATATACTTACTAAAATAAGAGTTTCAAACTTTTATACAAAAGATAAAGTAACTTTTATTTAAAAAAATAAAGTAACTTATATATTCTTTATGTTTTATTTTTAATTAGGGTGATTTGTTTAATGAATTATAAAGTAAATTTAATGTACCGTATTTAGGATACAATGGGGAAACTTTTTTCAAAAAATAGTTTTAAACATGCTATTAGCTCACTCACTCGTGTTTTTCTTTTTGAAAAATTGTTTCATACGATGCTCTACTCCAGTTATTGACTCCAATGAACTCTATTGAATTAGAAAAATTTGTACCAAATAAGGCTAAAACTTAAGTCATTCCTAATGTAGAACTTAAATTTTTTTATTCCTTAAATAAGATTTAATAATGTCTAATAAGAGAAATAATGTAGAGTGATGGTGGACATTTACTTGAATAATGACTAATGGTCCTAAATTGGGAAATAAAAGCATATAGTCTTGTATCGAGAAAGGCTCCGTTTGGCATCAGCGTTAGAGATTAGCGTTAGCATTTTGAAAAAGCTATCCAACGGTAGCCTTTAGCGGTAGCGTTTTCAGAATTAGTCTGTATCATTAAGATTTTATCCAAAACGCTAACCCTAATCGAAAATGCTCTTACCAAACAAAGCCAAAGTCATTATGTTTTTAGCATTAAATTAAGAGCAATGCTAGAGGTACACCAAAGGTGTACCCCAATTGTACACCACATGCTTCTCCAACACACATCTCTATTTGATTTTTATTTTTTTATTTTTTTTGGAATCTCTTGCCAATTATTATGGACAAGGAGGGGGTGGGGGACAATTGGGGTACACCTTTTCGTGTACCCGTACCATTTTTCTTAAATTAAGGGGCTGTTTGGTAACTTCTGAATGGGTAAGTGCTGAACCAGTAAGAGGTCTGAACCATTAAGAGCTAGTATATTGTTTAACTATTCAGAGGCAAATGTCTGATCAATTCAGATAAGAGCTCTTAACCATTCAGACTCTGTATAATACTTAACCATTCAGAGGCAAATCTCTTAACCATTCAGACATCTGAACCATTAAGAGGCTGAAACAAACAGTCTGAACCATTAAGTGCTGAATCATTCAGACATCTGAACCATTAAGAGGCTGAAACAAACAGCCCTTAACTCAACACAAGCGTTTGTAAACACCACTCGTTTTACCTACCAATTAAATCATAGAATTGCAACTTGGGCCCGCTTACTTTCCAGTTTGTTGCACTCAATTCCCACCTTTTAATTTCCCTCTCATGTGCTTTGACACCAATGCATTGCTTTATTTTTACAAATACTAGTACTCCTTTTATCTGATCTTAACCGATTTTATTTGATTGGAATAATTTTTCATTTGATCTGGTCTGATTTAAACATTGATGTATTTAAAATTGTTTCTAATCTAATTCTACTAAGAATAAATATTAAATAAAAAGTTAGTTGAGGACAACATGACCCTAATCTTCTCACATCAACATATTCATGATTAAAAAAATAAGTTTAAACTTTAAGTAATCGAATGGGAGATTACATGTTGAACCCCAGTAGGTGTTGTTACTCTTTATACTTAATAAGTTGAGAATATATAAATGTATACAGACTAATATGTTGTAATAGAGTTAATAATGTTAAAAAAACAAAAAACAAAAAACTAACTTGTAATGTTGATGAAGGGGTCGCTGCATATAATTTAAAATAAGAAAATTTTGCTCTATATAAGACTAAAATGTAGTAGATTTTCCTGAATAGGACGATGCATGTTTTATTTTTTTATGGCACATAATTTTATATGATCTGCCATGTGTGCCTTCATTACCAGCAAATGTTAGATAATAACTGATTGTACAAATGGCTCAATGAATGTGGTCATTAGCAACAAGTATTGGATAATGACTGATTATTTCATTTAAATTATTTTTAATAATGTCTTATTCTACTTGAACTATATAATATGTCAAATTTTCTCAAAAGTAAGACATTTTAGAACTTTGCATTGTCAAACGTTAGAGTAGATATGATTGGTCATATTAAGCGAAAATTGATATGTTTAAATCCCATTTTGATAAATTAAACTTAATATAATTGTAACATGCCTAGAGTAATAATTTATAATATAAAATATATATATTATATATATTATATCGCATGGAGTAATAATTTATAGTATAAAAAATACATACATTATATATATTATATGTTACACAACAGATTGGTTGTTGCGTCGTTATAAAAATTACTTTCGTCTTCTCAATCATTTTTATACATTTAGTTTTTTAACGATCACCAATACTTTACTTTAACTATTAAAACTAGTAAAAATTTTACCTACGTCCCATAAATTTTTCAAAAAAGAAAAAAGGTGTGCCCTAAAAATTTACGATTTTGATATTATTTTTAAATTTTACTCTTAACTTATAGTAAAGTAGGATATAATGTATAGTATAGATGAGTCATAATTAAAAAATAATACTCCCTCCGTCCCCCATAGATCTTCCCATTTGCCCTTTTTATTTGTCCCACATAGATCTTCTCATTACCTTTTTTTATAATTAAAATACCACAACTACCCCCACTTACTTTATTTATTACACCTTTTTCCACTTTATTTAATACACCCACCCATTTTCATTAAGGGTATTTTGGTAAACTTTTACCTTTTTTCAACTCTCCTAAAAAACCGTGAAAAATCAAATTGAGAACATCTTACATGGACGGAGGGAGTATCAAAATAAGCCATTTTTGAGCGCACCTCTTTTCGTTTATGAAAAGTTTTATGAGACGAAGAGAGTATATATATACAAGATTGATGAATCCAAATATATTATATTCAGATTATACCTAATTATATTTTTTATAATTTGTAATCAAAATTTATAAAATTTAATTGAAAAATGCAAATATAAATTTTTTTTGGGACAACTTTAATAATGCATCTTTGATAATGTATGGGACAATATATAGGAAAATAATAGCACACGGACCCCCCCAATCTACGGAATATAATTAAAGAGGTAATGGCAGCGAATTGCTGGATGCATGGACAGCCATTCGAAAGAGAAAGCCATGAGATTCGCAACTGAGTAAAGTTACCCCGCCGGCGGGCACGGCGGCAGCGCCATCCGATCTCCTCCGTCAAAACCCTCCTCGCTTAGCCCTCTCCCCGAGATCTACTACAGGGATAACATATAACACCGGCGGAAATGGAGACGCCGTTGCTCCACGGCATCTCCGGCGACCACCTGTACGGCGATGACGGAGACTACCGCCCGGCGAGAGGGCTGAGGATGTGGTGGCGGATTTTCTGCATAGAAACCGTTAAGCTTTGGGTGATCGGCGGGCCCATTGCGTTCAACATCATTTGCCAGTTCGGGACCGGGTCCGCCACCAACATATTCGTCGGCCATCTCGGAGATATTGAGCTCTCCTCCATCTCCATCGCCCAGTCCGTTATTGGCACTTTCTCTTTCGGATTTATGGTCCGTACTCCCAATTTCTCCTTATTTTGTTTCCATCTTCTAATTTCCTTTTTCTGCAAAAAATGTTTTAAAAAATGTCCTATTAAAGTTACTACTTTTACTATCCATATCCACAAATATGAACAGTTGCATTTTTTTTAAATAAATTCTTTCTCACAAATTTCAAGAGATTGGTGAATAACTTGCCAAATGTGTAATCATCCCATGTTTCAAATTTAAAAGGAAAAAGTTAGATGTAGCTCAAATCTTGTATCTTGACTTCCACAACAGTGTACACACACAAACAACCATTGTCTCTGCGTGCACATACAATGGGTGTTTGTGTGTGTGTGGTACACTGATGTGCAAGTTGGGGTACAAAGTTTGGGAAATCCCAAGCAACCCTCAATTGGTGTTTGTATTGTGTATCAACTACCCATAAAATGTGCCCCAAAGTGTATACCAAAGCTATGTACTAACATTTCGATAATTGACACCTAGTGCGATAAAACAAATATACACTAGTATTTTGTGCATGTGTGAACCATCACCCCAGCATCACACTGGCGCAAAATGGAGGTGCATATCTACATGCATGATTTGGGGTACAAGTAGCTTAATTCATTGTGTATTGGTACTTGGAATTCCATTTGAAAAGTTTGACCGCATGAAAATAGCATGGTACTACTAGCTTATAGTTCCTAATTTTAGATTCTACATTTTGACCTAAGAGGGTGTTTGGGAGTGTGGTGGCTTTTAGGAAAAGCGGGAGTGATAAGTCAAGAAGTGGATACCACTTAGAGGGTGTTTGTGTTTGAAAACTCCTTTTGAGCTTCTGTTTTATTAAAATGCAGTTTAGCGTGTTTGGCAATCCCCTTCCATTTATAAGTTATGACTTTAGAAGTTTACAAGTCCTACAATGGGCTATAGAAGTGCTTTTAAGCAAAGCTAAGAAAATATTTTTCTGCTTCTGCTTGTAACTTTTACTTTTTCACTAATTTACTACAACCCTAAAACACTATCTTAGTCGTAACTTTTCCGAAAAGCACCTCAATTTGCACTTAGGAAACCATAATCCATAAGTCAAAGTGAATTGCAGAACACTAAAAAATGTATTTTGGTGAAGTAGAAAACTCAATATTTGCTCTCAAACACAATCCCAAAATAACCCACTGAAAGAAGACGAATCGTTGGAAGAAAATCGTTCTTTGCGTTCATGTGCTCATTGTTAAAGCTTAACACGATCAAATTGCTTGTTTGAGTATAGTGGAATTTGATATTATCTTAAGACTTAATATGAGCTAAGAGTAGTCTACTGCTTCTCTATGTTAGTTTATATTTTTATATTCGGTCACTCTAGGATGGGATGGGATTATACAAAGGTTTGTTGCTATTGTTGTCAATGTGGGATAGTTTAACAAGTAACACTACGTGGAATAGCCTTTGCTGCATATGCATAGAAGGGGCACATCATTTACTTGTTTTAGTATGACTGATAAATTGTCTTGGAAACAGCCTCTCTACTTCTTAGTAGGGGTGAGGCTTGCATGCACACACCCTCCACACCCCACGTATGTGGTATTCTACTGCATCTGCTTGTTGTTGTAGTATGACTGATAAATGGTCTGATTTATTTGAAGCTTGGCATGGGGAGTGCATTGGAGACGCTATGTGGGCAGTCATTTGGCGCGGGTCAAGTCCACATGCTTGGGATTTATATGCAACGCTCAGTGATCATCCTCTTCGTCACTTGCATTGTCCTTCTGCCCATATACCTGTTTGCAACTCCAGTTCTCAGGTTGCTGGGACAAGAAGATGAAATTGCTGTTCTTGCTGGGGACTACGCTGTCCTAATCATCCCTCAACTGTTCTCCCTATCAATCACTTTCCCCACCCAAAAATTCCTTCAGGCCCAGAGTAAGGTCAACGTGCTCGCCTGGATTGGGTTTCTGGGCTTGGTATTTAACGTGTTTCTGCTTTGGGTATTCATCCCTTTGCTGGGGTGGGGCACGACCGGAGCAGCTTTAGCATTTGATCTTTCCAATTGGGCCATTGCGATTTCCCAGCTGGTTTATGTTGTAGGGTGGTGTAAGGATGGGTGGAAGGGGTTGTCTTGGGCTGCTTTTAATGAGATTTGGGCCTTTGTTAGGCTCTCGTTTGCTTCGGCTGTAATGCTCTGCCTAGAGATCTGGTATATGATGAGCATTATCATACTCACTGGTCATCTTGACAATGCTGTTATTGCTGTTGGCTCCCTTTCCATCTGGTATTTGCAATTTACCTCTCTTTCAATTATTTCTACTACTCAAAATGCCCATTACTCTCTTTACTTTGTGCTTGAGCTGGGTACACATCCTACCTAGACCCTCTTTTCTGGTTTTTTACTGTTTTTTTTTGCTGGCTTGTTCGATGTTGTAAATAAAATACCTGTTTAGTAAGTGTTATTTGGTGAAATCTACTTCAGTAAGATAAACAAAGTCAAAAGCGAGTGTTTCTGTTTGTTTCAGCATGAATGTGAACGGGTGGGAAGCGATGCTGTTCATTGGAATCAATGCTGCAATTAGTGTTAGGGTCTCCAATGAACTCGGGCTGGGACATCCGAGAGCAACCAAATACTCAGTATATGTCACAGTATTCCAGTCACTCCTAATTGGGTTACTTTGCATGGTGGTTGTGTTAGCCGCCCGAGACTATGTAGCCATCATATTCACAGACAGCAAAGATATGCAGCAAGCTGTGGCTCACCTTGCTGGCATTCTTGGAATCACCATGGTTCTCAACAGTGTCCAGCCTGTCATTTCAGGTATGTTTATTCATGAATTTTCGAAAACAAAATGATACTTTAACCCCAGGATGACACCAAGGTTGACACATCAGAGAGTCATTGTCTATTAGAAATCAATTTCTGGGGGCGGTGTCATCCGCGTGTGTGTGACTGTAAAAATTCATCCAAGTTTGCATACAGAATGAAATGATGCATAAATTTCATACAACTTGCAGGTGTTGCAGTGGGAGGAGGATGGCAAGCTCTTGTTGCTTATATAAACTTGGGTTCCTATTACATATTTGGGCTCCCATTGGGTTTCGTTCTCGGTTATGTTGCTAAATTTGGAGTCGTTGTAAGTAAAATCATTCTCAATTCAAGATTCTTGTGAAAAACTGCAAGACTTAATTATTATTAGAGGTAATTTAGTACCAATAAATTTGAATATATAAATGTATATAACAAATGGCAGGGACTTTGGGGAGGAATGATAGCAGGGACTGGCTTGCAGACTATACTCCTCTTGATTGTTCTTTACAAAACCAATTGGACTAGTGAGGTAATTTTAGTAGATGTAACCCGGATTAGTTTACGTCACAATCCACATGAATTTGCTCTCTTTTATAATGCTTTGATATCAACAATGTCAAAGAACCAACTCAACCATAAGCTCGAACTTGTGGTTGTATGTCCAAAAAGGTTTTATATTGTAGCACGCCCTCTCACGTGCAAGCGGGATTTATTTTTGCTCGAGTCTTGCATGTGAACATTATTGTTGTGTGAGTCTTTCACCATTGATTATGATAGTACACTGAGGTTTTGCATATATGGGTAAAAAAATGTGGGACATTGAATGCAAAACTTGACCTTAGAATGTTGGGTAGTGACATTTTGAATCTCTTGAGTTTTGCATGGTGACATTTTGGTCTTATATCCTCAGAATTTGAAGATATTTGCACTAAAAATAGGGTTTTCCCCCAAAAAATTCTCATGACCACAAAGCAACATGTCTAAATGTCACACCTAGCAAGTTGTGGGATCACAAACACACTAAAGAAATTACAGGACTAACATGGGATTGTTTCATGGCTCAAGTTTTTAAGATACAAGACTCCAATTGTTACCTCTTGAAATTTACGAGATTCAAAACGTGTATCCCAATACTTATGAGATCGACTAGTTCCGCACTAGGCCTTGTTTGGAAATAACATTTCCAATTAGCGTTAGCATTTTGAAAATATTTTTTACCGGTATTGATTAGCTTTGAAATTGTTAAAACTAAACGTTGTCGTTATAACTAGTGTTCTAAACACATTAAAGTTGTTGCCAAACGTTAACCTAATCTCGATGAGTCTTTCGATTGAGCATTGATATATATATGCAGGTCGAGCAGACAACAGAACGCATGAAGAAGTGGGGAGGGCAAGACTTTGAAGTTAGTAGCAGTTGTTAGTTCTTACCATGTTAAAAAATGGAGACATTTTTTTAGAGTTTAATAATTGATTAAGAAGTAGCAGGATTTACTTACTGGGCTTGTTTGGATTGATTTTTTAGTGCAAATTATTGAATTTTTTCGGAGTGAGTTTTACTTTTTTAATGCACAAAAACTCTTAGGGTCCGTTTGGTATACAGAATTGATGGAATTGGAATTGAATTGGAATTAAAATGTCATTGGATTCAATTCCATAGAATTGAATTCTCCAATTCCAATTCATTTTTTACACTACCAATTCCAAATCCACATAGAGAATTGGAATTGAGCTCCTCAATTCCAATTCCATAGTTTGAATTCCATATACCAAACGGGGCCTTATTGGAGATTCGTTAGAATGGAATTGTAACTCATTTTCTTATCCGAGAAATTGAATGAAAATTCTGTAATGTTTGAATGTTCATTGTACTGCTGAGCATTTTATAAGTTAGTGTTAGTCACAATATAAGAAAATTTTTTGAGTGTTTAGTTTTAAACCTGTGAAATAATACTCCTTCTGTTTGCAAAAATGGTTCTTATTTTGACTTTTGGTAGATTTATCTTCGTAATTTGACTTTTTAATTACTCCCTCTATCCCATTTTAAATTGCTTGTTTTTCTTTATTCTCCATCCCAAAATAAGTTGTATCTTGTTATCGTAAACTTTTTAGAGTAAAATACTTAAATTACCTCTGAAATAAGTCACTCTTCTCCATCTTATCTTCTCATTCATCGCCACCCCTCCTAAAAAGTAATAACAATTTCAGAAAGTCAACTTTATTTTTTCTCTTCCTTAAATATGCCCCAAAGTCAAAACGGACGGTTTAAAACGAGACGGAGTGAGTATGTCTTTAGTATCAAAGAAAAAAGAGACAAATCACTTAAATAACTTATTATATCAATGCAAGATGGATAGAGGATATTGCAATGCCTTTATTTGGTTATGTATTAGTTATTTTTTTACTCCCTACGTCCCGTTTTAAATTGTATGTTTTGACTTTTGAACATATTTAATGAAAATAAAAAATAGAGTTGATTTTTCGAAATTGCTGTTACTTTTTAAGAAGGGTGGTGATGAATGAGAAGATAATGTGAAGAAGAGTGACTTATTTTAAGGGTAGTTTAGGTATTTTATTTTTAAAATTTTACGAAAACAACTAACAGACAACTTATTTTGGGACGGAGAAAAAAGGTAAACATGCAATTTAAAATGGGACAAAGGGAGTACAATAGTTGAGGTGTTTTGAAGAAAACAAAAAAAATGAAAGAATAATTGTTTTAAAAAAATGGAGAGAGTATAAGTAAACTATGAGTAAAAATAGGTTGCATTTGAAATTTTGAATTTGAAATTGTGAACTACTCTATAGTCTTTAAGGTCATGTTCTTTACGGTTGGAAAAACTAACTTTCTAACTCTTAGTTTTTTCAACTCCTAGTTTTTTTCATATTCTTCCAACAACGACTTAGAAAATGTATTTATATATGATGAAAATATAATAACATTATATATCTAAATTTATAACATACTACTTCAAACACGCACAGATTAATTATTTTTATCCCAAATTAGAGTTTTTTTACATATTTATTTGGATGATCATGACTTTTTAACAATTTAATTTTTTCAATATTCTCCAATTCTTTCCAATTTTTTCCAAATTCTTCAAATTTCTTCGAACATTCAACTATGAAATTGTAACCCAAAAGTGGGGGTTTAAGTGTTTAATTTATAAATAGGAGACATGATTAGACCTAAATAGTAAAACAAAATATGTATGTGAGGATAAAACTATAAAACTTATTCCAAATAGGTCATAAATAAAAAATTAAGGATACTAACCTACTTTTAACTCATGAGTTTAAGTGATTTGAAGTGTTTATAATGGCAAAATTTTGCACTGTCAAACATTGTAATAAAAACATTTATTTATTCAAAAGCAATGTGTAAAAATTTAAGTTTTTACAAGCGCTTCCAAAATATATTGTAGAATTTTTAACACAATAGGAATATATATATCATGTGATGAGAATGCATACATACATCATATTTACGGTCTTAAGGAGTACAAATGTAAGTATAGTACAATATTTTGGTAGAAATATTAATTGTGCTTCCATATTTATACCAACACACTTTAATTCACTTCCAAAGTATATTGTAGAATTTTCAAAAAGAAAAAAGTGGAGTTAGATGTACATATAATTGGCCACAATCACGTGATTTGCAACATGAAGTGATCAGCCGGAAATGGTACTCTGTGTGATTCTGTGTGATAGTAAATGTAAAAAATATGAAAAAACCAAAATAGAAATATTCAGTCTTTTAAGATCAAAATAGGTGTATGATGGCAGTGTAGTGTAAGAATATGCATTTGCAATGTGATGAAAAAGTGATGACGGTGTACGTAATGTGTTAGTGTGATCAATCAATTGTCGGCGATCCGCAACAGTACTCTGGTGGCAGGCAACGACGGATTGGGGTGATAAAATGTAACAGATACGACATGACAATGTCATGGCAACGTAACAATAATAATGTGAACTAATATTTTGATCAAAAAGACTCATCAAATTCTCTCAATGTGTAAGCCTAAATATAGTCATGTGTAATCTTGTTTGCTTTGTCTTAACATATAGATTATTAATATATAATTTCTATAATTTTTTAATATACAAATTACAAGATAAAATAGATTAAAGAAGTGCATTGAATGGTGTGCCAATAGGTAAGTGGACAAAGAAAATGGGACCAAGGGAGTATTATATGGAGACTAAGAGCATTCAAGGAGAGTATTTATACGGAGTATGTGATTATGTGCTATTTTTTGAAAATGGAAGAGAGGACACATTCTATAGTTGTGTAGAATTTTATGTTTTAATTCTTTTAGATTTGGAAAACTGATTTACCTTTAATTATGAAACTTAATTATAAAATGTTCAATTTTTTTTGAAATGTATGAACAAGTTTCATTGTTTTAAAAAGATTCCTAAGATATACTCCGTACTTAGTATTTGAAGAAATGTCTAGAATTACTACTTTAGTTCTTTAATTTTATTTGTTAAAACAATGAGCGTCTTATATTTTTTATATAGTATTTCAAAAATATTGCATATAATTCACAATATTAATCTTAGAATGCTATTTATTGATACTTTTTTTACCTTTAAGATTTTAAATTTATTTTTATACAAAAATCAACATTTTTTTGTGCACAAAATGTGAACCCACTCCCCGAAATTCTAGGGTCCGCCACTGTTGTTATTATACTCTTAGTTTTATTTGAAAAGACTTAAGACTCATATTTTTTTATATTTTCATATTTTTTTATTTATATCTAGAGAGATTTCTTTTTTTAATACTCCATAGTTGTGTATGTGTTTTGAATCACTAATTCAACTACTCAGAACCATTGTTAGATGAGTAAACCAGTGTCTTGACCAAATTTTCAAAAGTGTGCTTTAATTAATGGGTATGATAGAAGAAGGTGAGACCAGGGCGGGGCCTCCATGGGATGTTATAAATGGGGGTGCATAAATGCAGCACCTCCATTACTCCCCCCAACCAACCAACTTTTCCCCACCCATATTTATTGCCCTCCATAATAACCCCCCCAATCACATTTCAACCCGCCCTCACATTTAATTCTCCTACTCTCCTTTTTTAAAGTTTCCCCTCTTTCTCCCTTGTCGGTCCAAAAGGTGGAATCGCCCACCCCAGGCGCCTCCATCCCTTCCCCGACAGGAATGGTGGAAGATGTAAATTATGGTGACTCAGTCGGTCAAGAACGCTAGACCCGTGCCCACCGCGCACAAGGAGCCTCCTCACCCTTTATGGGATTTTTGGATAGCTCCCACACTGCCGCTTGCGGGATTCGATCCCTGGTCATCGGTCCAAGATTTCACGCTCTTGACCAACTGAGCTACCCATGCGGGCCCCTCTTTCTCCCTTGTGAGTAGTGAGTAGTGACACATGTGACCCAACATTAATAAATAAATACATAAAAAATGTTGCATTTCATACTCTAGTAACAAAAATACTTTATATCATTAATTTTTACTGGGTAATTTATCTAAATAAGACTAAAATATAATGACTTTCTCACTATATGATCATATGTTTTTATTTCCCTATGTATGATCACTGGTCATTATCTATTAGTCATTATTCAACTAAATGTCTAGCATCACTTGGACATTATTCTTCTCACTAGTCATTATTAAGTCTTTTTTAGAGAATAAAAAAGTTTAAGTTCTACATCGGCAAATGACTTATGTTTTAGTCCTATTCAGTGCAAATTTCATTAGTTTTTAATGTCCTCATTAAAAAATAAGGTTTTCCCTCAAGTTGACACGTGAATATCATAAATGCCCAACTTGGCGAGAAGAAAACAAAACAAGGAAGTGGGTACTGCCTTAGTCCAGATATCGGCAATCTGAAGCTTGGGGGGACATATGCATCAACATGTCGCCTTTGAACACATTCACGAACAACGTGACAATCAATGTCAATATGTTTTGACGCTTAATGAAAAATGAGATATGTAGCAATAAAGAAAGTAGAGTTATTAGCACAATATAGCCTCGAAGTTGCAACGCACGGAACAAACAGATCCGCTAGAAGACCACGAATCCACCATATATATCTCATTACATGCATTCGCCATAACACTAGAACTGCGCGCCGGACCGTGGGTGGATGAGGAATATGAACGAAGATCCTCATCAGTCGACGTTTGGGTGACAGTCGGGTGAGAAGAAGAGGTGGATGTGCCCAAAACTAGAATGACTGACGGTGTGGGGTCATGGGTTCCTCTATCGGTCGGGTTGATTGCGCTGGGGGTTTCAGACATGGTAGTGGCGGGTTCTAGTGTAGATGTAGGGAAATCTACATGGGACGTGACACAGAATGGGGACGGCGGTGATGGAGGAATGATGAATGAGAACATAGACTCATCAAAAGAAACGTAACTAGTCAAATCAATTTTTTGAACGGAGGGGGTACTCGGTAACAAATCTATAAAGTTTGAATTGTATTTTTTCATTTCCTTAAAAAGATTATATACTCCCTTCGTCGAATAATAATATTCCAGTTGCGCGTTACGATGTTTGATTGACATTTTTTCAAATTATTTTATATGAAAAATCATATGGAATTTAAAAAAATTGAAATGACATATTTTCAAAAACTACATGAAAAGATTTACAAAAGTAAACGTGGCATGACTATATTATTTATCAAATGAGCAACGAAAATACGCCAACAAAATGAATAAAGTTTGACTTTGTGAATAGTAAATGAGAACATTATTTTTAAAGGGATGTAGTATTTTTTTTATTATTAAAAAAAATCCTATATTCCATTTTTGGAAACAATTTGTTGTTTTTATAGTTCTTCTCTCTTTTGTATCTTTCAACCGTATAATTTCATTTTTAAACTTCATATCAAGTCTAGAGTGAATTGAAACTATTTTTTTTATAGAAAAGTGAGAATAATGTTTTTGTTTGGGTAAGTGACTATAAATTGAACTCTTTCCCATGCATCCATAAAACTCACTTGACCAAGAGTGTTGACTCTCCCACTTGCACCTATAAAGGCCACTATAAGAGTATAAGTACTCTCTCTCCCATTTCAATTTATAAACTCTCAACCCCTTTCCAGTCATATTATTTTCTTCAACTCTTCTTTAATTTTAGCGATGGCGGGGGAGATCCCGGGGGAGGAGGTAACGGCGGCCGGCGGGAAAATGACAGTGTTGACCAAAACTCACGTGAAGCCGAGAAAGGCGGTGGGCAAAAAAGAGTGCCAGCTGGTCACATTCGACCTCCCTTACCTGGCCTTCTTTTACAACCAGAAGTTACTCGTTTACGGCGGCGGCGAGTTTGAAGATACGGTGGAGAAGTTGAAGGACGGGCTGGCGGTTGTGCTGGAGGAGTTCTACCAGCTGGCCGGGAGGCTGGGGAAGGACGAAGAAGGGGTGTTCAGAGTGGAGTACGAAGATGAAATGGACGGCGCCGGCGTCGAGGTGGTGGTCGCCGCCGCGGATGGGGTGGCGGTAGCGGATCTGATAAATGAAGAAGGAACAGCCTTGTTCAAGGACTTGATCCCCTACACTCGCATCTTGAACTTGGAGGGCCTTCACCGCCCACTTCTTTCCATGCAGGTAATTAATTATAGTCATATTTAATACTCTCCGTCCCAAAAAGATTTACACCTTTCAAAAAAATTGCGTCTCACAATCTCCTACTTATTTCTATTAAAAAACCACTTTTACCTCTTACTTTTTCAAATCTCATATATCATATCATACCTTTTTCCAAATAATCTACACATCGCATCCTACTTTTACCCATCACATCAAGGGTATTTTTGGAAAGTCAACACAAAATTATCTCCCCCTTAGTTTCAACTTTAGTCAAAATGTGTAAATCTTTTTGGGACGGAGGAAGTAGTAAATACTTGTACTACTTAATTATTTAAACTAATATTTAATTTACTCCGTATATCATAATTCAATATATTTTTTTCTACAATTTCTGATTAAAGTTTAAAATTTCCACCAAAGAAAACAAATTTGATGAAGGATTATGATTTTTGACAATAACTGTAGTTATAAACTCAAATTTATAATTTGTCTATGGCATGATTCTTCCAGAGCTACTTTTTCCAATCGAACAGCACAAACTTTGGTTGCAAAATAAATAAAAATTGATCATCCCTTTAGTAAAAGGATTACTTTTACTATACCATTTGATAGAGTTTTTCTTTTAATTATTTATTACGGAGTAATGTAATGCATATGCTGTGTTACGTGAATTTGACAGAATAAAATCAAATTAAACGAATAATCTAAGATAATGGGAATACAATACTACTCCATCCGTTTGGAAAAACACTTCCCATTTGGATTTGGGGAAAAAATTAGAAAGTGTTAAATTATAGTTGATTTCTAATTTTGCCCCTGATGTGATGGGTAAAAGTAAGATGTGATGGATAGATTATTAGAGAAAAAGTATGATGTGATAGGTAGGGTATGAAAAAGTAAGGGTAAAAGTGGTTTTTTAATAGAAAAGGGAAGTGGTTGGAAGTGGAAAAAATGAAAGAGGAAGTGTTTTTGAGAACGGAGGGAGTATGTTTAATTTACTTATGATGAACATTATTACATGTAGTAGTTAATGATAGAAGTATTGTATTGATGATAAAAAAATGAAATGTAAGCAATCTCACAAACTAAAACTAGGGTCTCACGATTTAAATTATGACAAATTCTTTCAAGCACCTAAGATTTGAATATTTTTATTAAAGTTAAATAAATAAAAATTTATTTATTACTGAGATCAGTATTTTTATAAAAAAATTGTGTGAGAATATCATGTAACATTATTAGTACTCCCTCCGTCCCGTTTTAAATCGTCCGTTTTGACTTTTGGGCATATTTAAGGAAAATTAAAAATAGAGTTGATTTTCCAAAATTATCAATACTTTTTAGAAGGGATGATGATGAATGAGAATATAATGGGGAGAAGATTGACTTATTTTAGAGGTAGTTTAATTATTTTATTTTTAAAAGTTTTCGAAAACAACTAATAGACAACTTATTTTGGGACGGAAAAAAATGCAAACAGATAATTTAAAATGGGACGGTGGTAGCACCATTAAGAGCATCTCCAACCATAGCATTTTAACTTGCTAAAAGTTATAATATAGCTAGCAAAACACTTTTGTTCTTCTCCAAGGGGTGTGCTTTATTTTAGCAACTTTGCTAAAAAATGACTTTGGCTTGTTAAATATGACAAACCCCTCAAACTTTAGCAAGCCAATACTTAAAAAATAAAATAGCAAATTATGGTTGAAGAATGAAATGAAAAAGTGCTTGTTATATCATTATTCACTTGCTATAATATAAAAATAGTAAATTTATATAACAAGCATGGTTGAAGATGCTCTAACGGAGTAAAATTTTAAATGAAACTGAAACGGGACGAATTTAATTCGGCAATAAATTTCGAACTACTCAATTTATTTCTACTTCCAATCGATACGATTCATTAATGGGCCGCGTGATTTGCTGTATGTTGCAGCTCACCAAACTGAAGGATGGACTCGCGATTGGGCTGGCGTTCAACCACGCCGTGCTGGACGGCATGTCCACTTGGCATTTCATGTCCTCGTGGGCCGAGATATGCCGCGGGGCCCACTCCGTCTCGGTCCCACCCTTCCTCGACCGCACCAAGTCGCGCCAGACCAGGGTGAAGCTCAACCTCTCGCGGCCCTCCGACGCGCCGGAGCACGCCGAGTCTTCACCGCCGCCACAACAGCCCAACGGCGACGCGGCGGCGCCACCGCACCTCCGTGAAAAGGTGTTCAAGTTCTCCGAGTCAGCAATCGACCGGATCAAGTCAAGAGTCAACGCGCAATCGGACGGCTCAAAAAAGGCATTCTCCACGTTCCAGTCCCTGGCCACTCACGTGTGGCACGCGATCACACGCGCGAGGGAACTGAAGCCGGAGGACTACACGGTCTTCACCGTTTTCGCCAACTGCCGGGGGCGCGTGGACCCGCCGATGCCGGACGCGTACTTCGGGAACCTGATCCAGGCGATTTTCACGGCGACGGCGGCCGGGGCGCTGATCGGGAACCCGCCGGAGTACGGGGCGGGGCTGATCCAGAGGGCGATCGACTCGCACGACGCGAAGGCGATCGAGGGGCGGAACGAGGAGTGGGAGAAGGACCCGAAGATATTCGGGTTCAAGGACGCCGGAGCGAACTGCGTGGCGGTGGGGAGTTCGCCGCGGTTCAAGGTGTACGCGGTGGATTTCGGGTTCGGAGGGCCGGAAAGCGTGCGGAGTGGGCCCAACAATAGGTTCGATGGGATGATGTATCTGTACCAGGGGAAGAACGGCGGGAGAAGCGTCGACGTGGAGATCACGTTGGAGGCGGCCGCCATGGAGAAGCTGGAGAAGGACGATGAGTTCTTGCTCGGCGGCGCTGCTGGTTTAATTTAATTAGTTCAATTAGGCTCTTAATTAATCATTATTATTATTATTTGTTAATGAGATCTTAATCTATTACTATTATTATTATTATTATTATTATTATTATTATTATTATTATTATTATTATTATTATTATTATTATTATTGTATAATAATAAATCAGGATTTATTGTTGGCAGTCGCCGGCGGCGTGTATTCGTGTATGAACATGTATGAACTATGATGAATACAAGGTATTTCGTTCCTTGTGTTTTTGGATTTTAATTTGGGAAGTGTTTTCGTATACATGTAAATGGACCATGCTAGAGTGCCACCACATGAGTGCTACCATGGGTGCACCTATGCTTCGCACACACAAATACAGATGATAATTATCTGTGCGATCGTCTGTGTTTGTCTGTGCGAAGCATGTGTGCACCCATGGTAGCACCCATGTGGTGGCACCTCTAGCATTTTCCTATGTAAATATGGCCCGGTTCTAGTGACACCGGAAAATGGTGCCACTAGCGGTGCTACTGCCTTTTTGGGACACCTTTGATGCTCCGTACGTAAAATTGACGGTTCCTACCCCTAAACCCCTCACCCTACCCTCACCCCTGCACCCCACCCCAACCCCGCTGTAAGCCTCCCACAAAATGTGTGGCTAAGATGAGCCAAATTACTATTACGAACGAAATTGATCATTTGGGATTAGGCTCAAATGACTCACAAATATTGTTTTGAGGCACTGGATAGGACTCTGCGAGATATTATGTCATTGCACGATCCTAGAAATGCTCAATTACCGTTTGGGGGCAAAATAATTGTGTTTGGAGGAGACTTTCGACAAATATTACTTGTCATACCTAAAGGGACTAGACAAAACATTGTTAATGCGACGATTAATTCTTCATATCTTTGACAGTTTTGTATCGTGTTGCGTCTCACTGTTAACATGCGTCTACAGGACATGACTCATGATAGCGCATATGAGAGTACATTGGAATTTACTAAGTGGATAACAAGTATTGGGGATGGTCTTGCTGGAGAAGAAAACGATGGATGTTGTGATGTCGATATCCCTTCTGATATGGTCTTGCAAAGCTCAGAAGATCCTATCGCTACAATTGTTCAAGCCACTTATCCTGATTTTGAGAGCATAGCAAAGGATCCAAGTTACTTACAAGAAAGAGCAATTCTTGCACCAACATTGGAGATGGTGGATGTCATAAATGACTACATAATATCAATCAATTCAATTGGAGAAGTAAAAAGTTACTTGAGCATTGATAGCATTTGCAAGTCAGATTCAAATGTAGTGTGCCTAATCACGAGCTCAGATTGAAAGTGGGAACACCGATCATGTTGTTGAGGAATATATATCAATCTATTTAGTTGTGCAATGGAACTAAATTGATTGTTACAAGATTGGGCACTCACTTGATTCAAAGGAAAATTCATGGGTGGTAAGAATGCAGGCCACGAAGCAGTCATACCTCGACTTATGCTCACACCTTCGCTTACTCGGATTTCGTTTAAGTTTCAAAGGAAGCAATTCCCTATTATGACTTCTTACGGAATGACAATTAACAAAAGTCAAGGCCAATCGTTGAAGCATGTGAGATTATTGCTCAAGAAACCAGTTTTCAGTCACGACCAACTTTACGTTACTGTCTCCCGAGTGACTAATCGATGTGGTTTGAAGGTTTTGATTTGTAATGATGACCTACAATCTTCAAATAACACAAAAAATGTAGTGTACAAAGAAGTCTTTCAGAACATGTAATGTAGTTTTTTTTTTGGTTTTTGCTATGCATTCCTCAATATTACTGTGTAATACTTATAATGCTTATATTTAAAACAATTTCATTTCGTTGTCTTTATTTCCAATATAAATTTAAAACCTATTTTTCGTTTACTATGCCAAACCAATGACCGTGCAACGCACATGTTAGAGAACTAGTTACTTTAATGAAATGGAGTGTAGTTTAGCGGGTTTGGGTGTTGGAGGCAGCACACTAGTGCCATTTCCTAATTGTTACGGGGTAAGCAGTACTAAGCTTTCTTCTATGATAATGGGCCACTCAAAGCCCAATTCTTTATTCCTTCTGCAATTTCTCTCTATCCAACGAAGTAGAAACATCCCGCATGATTTCTTCCCTTCTGCACTGGTCTCGTCTTCTACAAACAATTCACCCTTCTTCCATATCCAGTTTCCAGATACATCTCATTTTCTACGCTCCATTTTCACTCCTCCAGCTTCTTCAAACCTTTATCAAATATATATGCCCAATCAGGAACTAGGAATCGTTCCAATCATCCAGCTGTGAAGCACGATTTTCAGATCTATGGACAGAATTCCCGAATCTGAAACGCCTCTCTGCACCGCAGATCTTCTATTGGCCTTTTAGTTTTTGAAATTCGTGTATGAAACGCCACTCTATCGAGCTTGTTTTCGCGTTTCAGATGAGTATTTGGGTTTTGAAGATCAGTGGTGAGAAGTGTTGTTGTTGATGCTTGGAGGTTTTGTATAGTTATATATAGGCAAAGTCATCTCTTTGTGTTGTATTTATATGAAATCAAGTATCTGTTGACAAGGAAATGAGCAGTATCTGAGAACAGTATACTTTGGAGAGCTTTGAAGCTTCAAATTCAAATTTCTATGGGTGTGATGATTGATAAGAAAACCCAAAGTTGACACATGTTCTGATAACGGGCATGGTCTTGTATTGTCTGCTCATAGGAAGCTTGTGGGAGAGAAGCTTGCTGAAGAATAAACAGAAAGTAAAGTGAAGGGTGAGGCAAAGACGATTAAACACGTGGTAAGCATTATTTTGTTTTAGATGTAAAAGAATTTCGTATGCACGAATAACTCAATGCTTTCTACACGCCGAGTAGTTGAATTAGTGTTTTATTCTCATCCATGTACAAGATTGGAGAAAGAAATACCCACGTGAAACACGGTTATTATTTGGATGCTAGTGAAAAGTTTCTGATAGGAGTTGCTACAAAAGGAAGTATTGGATAATGGTTTTGTTGGAATTCAAAATTAAATGACAATTCCGTAATTGAGCTTGATTTTATGAAATGAAATTAGCTTCCTTATGCATTGACAAGTCAAACCACCGCCCTGATGCTCTAGCGAGTTAACGAGAATGAAATTGTGTGGTTGCAATTTATTTATAAGAAGGAAATGAACAATATCAACAACAAAATTCATAAAAGGGGTGGAGTAAGAAGATCAGAAGGGGGTGGAGACGTGGAATGGCTATATATATACATATTTTCCAATTTTGAAATGGCATATGTTGTTATTTCTAACAGACCGTTTCTTTGTATATTTTATTTCTTAAATAAGGTGTTTTCTTCAGTTTCTTTAAATATTAGGAGTATCTGTTGGTTCGAAATGTCTGTATTTTAATTTTTAATACTCCGTATGATATATTGCATTAAAAAATTTGTTTTATTGTTGGCTGTTTTTTGTTATTGCTTGCACTCTGGCATGATTGTTAGTGTGACAAAAGTGGGCATTATTGTTCCATTTATAGAATGAGAGCAAGATTTGTTTTCACATTCTATTCTTTGAGTGGGGATTACTTTCAAGAAGTTTGGATTTTGTTTTTAGGGACCATTAAATTGCTAGGATTATTTCTATAGTTAGAGTGCACACCTCCCAGCCCTTACAGTCAACAATTATGCGTGCAACTTCCACGTCCAATTGAACATTTTATCGGAAACAACAAAATGCTAAAAATTAAAGCAAAGCATAAAAAGTTGAAACGTAATGTAGCACAATCAGCATGGGTCCTTTTTACTGGAAAGCCTGCCCTTATTTTTGTTTGTTGTTAATGTTTCTTCAGTTAGTTTTGGTGGGCACATTTACACAGCAGACTGCCTTTTTAAATACTCCTCTCTCCTATAGTTATCTTTTCATTTTCCCTGTTGGGTTGTCCTAAAACTTACTTCACATATCCCTTTAGACAAATGCTATGGTGGACTTAAGGTCTACACCATTTTAGGTGGACCTTGTTATGAGGGTGGTAAGTAAATGCTTACTACCCTAATAAGCTCCTTTTTCTGCAAAACAAAAAGAAAGAAAAGAAAATGCTTGTGAGAAGGTACACAAAAAATTATGTGGGCCTTTGGTCCACCAAAGAAGCACTCTTCTTTTTAAGGAAGGGTATAATCAACCACAATCACCCAATTTCACATTCTTAAAAAGTGTGTCAAGTCAACATCAAAAGTTAATTTTATGACGGGGCATATATAGTAGGTATATTTTGTGTTCTAAAAGTACCTTTTTTTGCAATATAGTAGTACCAAGAAGAAACATGCCTTCATGGTGGTCAAAGTCATCCAAGGAAACAAAGAAGAAAGCAAATAGAGAAAGTTTCATTGATACACTACAGAGAAAATTTAAGAGTACATCATCTGACAGTAAGTCTGCCATTAAGCCCGGAGGATCTCAGAGGCGCAGTGATAACATAGTTTCAAGATCAACATCACCTTCCAAAAATGTACAAAGATGTCAAAGCTTTGCTGATAGGCCACTAGCACAACCACTTCCCCTTCCAGGTCTGCATTCTGCAAGGGTAGTCCGAACAGAATCTGGAATCATCAGCTCATCGAGAACAAAGGCCAAGGTAGAGAAGGGATCAAAGGCATCCATTTTCCGGCCTATACCTAGACCTGGATGCATTAGAAGCAGATTGGATCCTGCAGATGCAGAGGGGGAATTGGCTGTTGCATCGATGTCAAGTGGATGCTCCGTTGAGAGTGATGATATGACCGACTCACGGCAGCCTAGTCCACTGGCCTCTGATTATGAATTTGGGAGCAAAACTGCCACTGGTAGCCCATCCAGGTCAGCAAATAAAGATATTCATTAAAAGATAGGATATAAATTATACACCCCCTTTTCCATGTGACCAAATTCGCTTGTTCTTTTCAATTTTCCTTTTATATTTTTGTGTGTTAATTTATCACCCCAAATGCATTTTCTTTTATCCATGTGATTTGGTCAATGAAGACTGATAAATAGAAAGGGAGGGTAGTCACATATTTGTTTCTCCCTCCCTCCCTCCAACCCTCTCATACACACATACACAGTCACACACATATACATACATACATACATACATACATATACATACATACTCCGTGTGCGTGTGTGTGATATGTATGTATTTATGCGTATGTGTGTTCTTTTTTTTCTTTATATAATCCATCTGTATTTATGTTTTTTTCATGTTCTCCTGTCTTTTTAATCTTTTTTTTTCCACCTGTTTGAAAGTTAGCTCATCTTTTCTTTTAGGGAAGAATTTTGTGGTTGATTTTGTTTCTCTTCTAGTCTTCTAAAACAAATTTCACTCTTATTTTTCACTTTATTAAAAACCTTGCAAAGTCAGAGTAGGATATTAAAATGGGACCGAGGGAGTATATATTTTCCATTCCCAATCTGACATAGTCCATCATTATCTTGCAGTGTGCATGTTAAAGATCAATCCCCTATAGGGCAAATAAGTTTAAGAGAGCAAGCAGGACCAGTTAATCTTTCCACCGGCAGAAATGTCCCATCTTCATCTCCTAAACGAAGACCTTTAAGCAGTCACGTGCCTAATATACAAGTTCCTTGCCATAATGCAGCTTTTTGGAGTGCTCCAGATAGCTCAATGTCCAGTCCTTCTAGAAGTCCCATGAGAGTTATTGGCGCCGAGCAAGCTCCTTATTCTACAATATGGGCAGCAGGAAGGACATATCCCGATCTTCATTTGCTTGGTGGTTCCGCTTGCTGCTCAAGTCCTGGCTCAGGACAGAATTCTGGCCAGAATTCAATGGGAGGAGATATGTCTGGACAGCTATTTTGGCAGCCCAGTAGAGGAAGTCCGGAGTATTCTCCAAACCCCAGTCCCAGAATGAGAAGTCCTGGGCCTAGCTCCAGAGTTCAAAGCGGTGCTGTCACACCGATTCATCCAAGGGCTGGAGGTGGTTTGTCTGAATCCCAAACTGGCCGGAATGATGATGGAAAACAACAAAGTCATCCATTGCCCCTTCCTCCCTTGGCAGTGTCTAATTCTTCACATTTTTCTCATTCAAGTTCAGCTGCTGCATCTCCATCAGTGCCTCGAAGTCCTGGAAGAGCAGAGACTCTAACAAGTCCTGGCTCACGCTGGAAAAAGGGGAAGTTGCTTGGTAGAGGCACGTTTGGACATGTTTATGTTGGTTTTAACAGGTACATGCATATGACCCTGCTTTTTCGTTCTCTCTATTGAACACAGCCATATCTACTTGAGCATGGTCAATGTAAATGGTGTTTCATGTACATTAAGATTTTAAATCCACCATTTTGTTTTTAATTTTCAAGTGAGGCAACTGTTATACCATTTGACGTAATCATAGAAGCATCCCCAGTTTCAGAAACAGTTTCATTAATTGCTAATATGATTTTCTTCACTTAAATTTTGGTTCAGTGATAATGGTGAAATGTGTGCAATGAAGGAGGTTACATTATTTTCTGATGATGCAAAGTCTAAGGAGAGTGCTAAGCAGTTGGCCCAAGTAAGTTATTAGCCAAAAAAGTATACCTGAAAAGACTTCAAAACATCTATTTTAGTTCTTACATCCAGTTGTTTTGCAGGAGATTTCACTACTGAGCCGGTTGAGGCATCCAAATATTGTACAGTATTATGGGTCGGAAATGGTAAGTGGTAGTATAAACTAACATTACTGCTTATGAAGCCCCTAGTCTTTTGTGGGATTGTACTGGGTTTGTAGTTGTATGAAGTCTCAAGTCATATTTATAAACTAACATTGCTGCTGCAATATTTTGTTGGATCAGGTTGGTGATAAGCTGTATATATACTTAGAATATGTATCTGGCGGTTCTATCTATAAGCTCTTACAGGATTATGGGGCATTTGGTGAAACAGCAATCCGTAGTTATACCCAGCAAATCTTATCTGGACTTGCATATTTACATGCTAAAAATACTCTGCATAGGTAAACTTGTATTTTATTACTTTAGTTTTTTTGGTTGAATGAGATCCCAGTTTTGAGAAGCATTTGCTTGTAAAATAACTTGTTACCTTATTTACTTACTAAATTGTCGGGCAGAGATATAAAAGGTGCAAATATTCTTGTGGATCCAAATGGGCGCATCAAGTTGGCTGACTTTGGCATGGCAAAGCATGTAAGTACACGCTTTTTTGGACCATATGTAATGGCTTTACAAAAAGTGACCCTGCTTTTATTGTAAATCATCTTAAACAGGGATGCTTTCTCCACTGTTACTTTAATAATTCAACTTTGTTAAGTTGTTATGTTACATGCTTTAATAGGACACCACTTCTTTTGGTTGTGAACACTGATGACTTGATTTTTTCCCACTCAGACTTGACTGCATGATATTACAATTAAGTTTCTGAATGGTTGTGACTTGCAGATTACAGGGCAGTCATGCCCACTGTCATTCAAAGGAAGCCCTTATTGGATGGCTCCCGAGGTCATTAAGAATTCTAATGGTTGCAACCTTGCTGTTGATATATGGAGTCTTGGGTGCACTGTCTTAGAAATGGCCACATCAAAACCACCTTGGAGCCAGTATGAAGGGGTCCGTAACACACCTCTGCAGCATAAACAAATTTTTTATAACTAAAATTTGATTGTAGTGAGGTGCTTTCTTCGTAAAAGGTCCATTGTTTGAACAATATCACTTTTGTTCGCAAACAGCTGGCACCATTTAGCAATTCAATACAGTAAAATATAGTCAAATGAGTAAAGTTATCATCTCATATTTATTTAACTTCTAGTTGCTACTTTTAATACATTGAAATCAATAGGCGTTACACCTATGGTTATGTGTTCTCTGAACTTTGCATGCAAATTCTTTCTTTGGTTATCATTAAATGTGTGTTATGTTATGGTTTGAAGGTTGCTGCCATGTTTAAGATTGGCAATAGTAAAGAACTTCCAACACTTCCGGAGCACATATCAGACGAAGGAAAAGATTTTATTATGAAATGTTTGCAGCGCGAGCCACTCAATCGTCCTACTGCGGCCCAGCTCTTGGACCACCCTTTTGTAAAAAATGCTGCAGCTCCAGAAAAGTCCATCATGGCCCAATCCCAGTCTGATCCTCCATTTACTAACATGAATGGCATGGTATCTCCTTTACCTTACCTTTAATCATTTTTATCTGTTAGGATGATACTTGAGTTCTTTTTACCAAGTCAATTAATACAAATTTACACACATTATACATGTGCAATATTCATTCTTTTGTCATTTATGAATGATATTTCAGGGTATCGCACAACGAAGAAATATTCCTAATTTTGAACCAGAAAGACTTGCTATCCATTCATCTAGGGTATCAAGATCTGCTTTCCAATGCAGGTATATATATTAAGCCTTACTCTGATCTAGCCTTTCCATTTAAGCCACGTTGGCTTTGGAAATAGAATATTAAGCATTTCATCAAAGGATATAGAAAAGGCAGATCGGATCTCTTTGATCCATGTCACTTTCAGCAGTGGTTGACAAAATGGCATTAGTTATAGAGATGAAGAACAAAAAAGATAAATAAATTTTGATTTTCTCTCTTTGATTTTCATGTTTAATTGTGGAGTGACATCCAAATTCCAAGGATCAAAACATATTTTGATTTTCTCTCTTTGATTTTCATGATTTATTGTGCAGCGACATTCAAATTCCAAGGATCATTTCTTGTCCGGTGTCTCCATTGGGGAGCCCACTACTACACCAGAGATCTCCCCAACGCTTAAACGGCGGAAGGATGTCACCCTCACCAATATCAAGCCCTCGCAACACATCTGGCTCATCCACACCCATCTCTGGAGGTGCAATCCCCTTCCCTCACTTCATCAACCACTCCTCCATCTACTCGCAAGTGAACAGTGCTTCCCCTGCCCCTTATTGGGACCCCGATGCATTTCGTGGGGTGGGATCAAATAGTAATAATAACAACAATGCCTTCCGTGGGGATGTGGCAACACAATGTGGAAACGATGCACTCGGGAAGCAAGCAGTGTTAGCTAACCGCGTGGCTCAGCAACTCCTAGGCGATCATCGTCATCATCATCATCTTCACGATAAGTCAATCCCATCATTATTAGATTTCAATCCTTGCCCTCCTCCCCCATTAGCAGCAGGTCGCACAGGTGGTGGAACATGACTCTTTCTTGGCATGATCCTGTTTGTTTTAACTTCACAATTGGGTTTTTGGAATAAGGGGGTTAACGCCGACAAGGGGGAATAATTCTATGGAGATTCCTTTCGCCGTTTTTTTCTTGTCTCTCTTGATGATGTGCTGGCTGCAGATGGTGTCGGAGCGTTACGTGGGGCCCCACATGTACAAAGTCGGATTCCGGAAGATTGGGTTTGGTATGATACCCTTTTTTAACTGAACCATTTTACAACTGATTGATGATCAATCAAAGCTTATGCTTTGGGGATGACAGCCTCAAGAAATCAGTTAGGTTTTTTTTTTGCCGCCCAGACGGTTGGTGTATTAATCATTGTACATTCATTGTCAATATGGGGATTAATGAGACTGGATGTTGACCATGTTTGTTTCGAAGGTGTGTGTGTGTACAGAGGACAATGTGTGGAAAAGAAGAAAAATTCAAAACTCTGCAGATTAAGCAAATAACATTTCTTTATGAGATAAATTTCATCATTACTTGCCTTTTTTCTATAACTATTTTGGATTTAAATTTCGTCTCTGAATGTATGACTAAATTTATTGAAGCAATCAGTGATTGACTAATTTAATTGAATTGAATTGAACTGCACCTAATTAAACTTTGAATAAGTCACGCCAATAGCCCTAATATTTGAAGAAATTTGGCAAAAAAATTACCAATCTTTTTCTGTAAACCACATAGTAGTGACTTATGTAGTTTGAAGATTGGAATCTGAATATGATTTTATTTTTAACTTAAGCATCTAGTCTAGACTTTTGGAACTTGAATAAATAATTCAAACTAGAAGTCAAAATATTGTTTTTGAAGTCAATAGACGGTATAAATACAGAGTATTCAATATTTACTTGTACTCTTATAAATCACACCGTGGAAATATTGACAGTCACTAGATATTTCAATGTTGGTAAACTATATTTTCTTTCTTTTTCGTTAAATACAATTAAATAATGCCTCATAGCATCATTACTATTTAACTTGATTGAATGTCTAGTTTTAAGGCTAAAAATTTGTCTAACGAACATAACTCAACAAGTTAGTATCAAGTGACACATAAGGTCAACCAAATTTGAATACAACCAGTTTCATTGCAATGCTCACTGCTCAACTGATTTCTGTCGTGGATTTGAGAAAACCGTAGCTGATTATATATTTGCGACGGAACTGCAATGGAAGTAAATACCAGATTAAGTATAGAACTAAATTTTATATCAACTTTCGTCTAATCAATTTTAAAATTTCAAATTTGTATTCTAGTCTTCTACTACATAATTTTAAACTTTTACTCCGTATCTAAGGTTAGTCATTTTTTCCCATAAATATAACATGCATTTCATCATTTTAATTTTAGGAAAACTAAAAAAATGAAAAAAATTAGAGTAAATTCCATAATTGGACCTTTATAACAGGGAGATTTTTCTATTTAGTCCTCTATTATCAAATATTACCCTGGTGGTTCTTTTTTATGGATATTTTTCCACAAATAGTGTTTTTTTGATCTTCTTTCATTTTTGTGTTAATTTTAGGGTTAAAAATATAATTTCACAATGATAATATATCTTTCTTATCATACACAATTCCAAAGCCCGCTCCTGATGCGTCGTTTATGAATTATAGTCGATGTGATCTTTCGTCAGAATCATAGCCGCAGTCATAGTCATTATTTTTATGTTATTCATCTGACCAATATCAGAATACATCACTGAACAAAAAGTTGATTTCAAATTATACTTTTAGCTTTTAAATTAATATCAATATTGCAGAAGATCTAAAAAAATCATTTGTAGAAAGAAGCTTATAAAAGAAAGACTACGAGTTAATATTTGATAATGGAAGATTAAATATAGAAATCTCTTTGTTATAAAGTACCAATTATAAAATTTATTCAAAAAATTAATTATTGAAAGTTAGTTGTTAGGCCCTAAATCGAGTCAAATGAGGTAGAAATACGGAGTAGTTTTAAAACAAAACCGCCGCAATCGAGTCAAAATATCTGACAGCAACGTGGCGGCGCTACATCACCACACAAAACTAACGCTGAAAACCCTATAGCCTTTTTTTTTTTACGTTTTTAAAAAAACTCAATTCCAGTTTTATCTTATTCCAATTATTTTATAATTTATTTTTTTTTCATTTTCCCGCATAATCTGAAACCCTAGTTGTGCTTCTTCTTGGTCGCTCTCCCGTGGTCTGCACCTCCGAAGATTGAGTCTCTCTTTTCCGGTATGTACGTCTTTCATTTCTAATTTCGCCGTGTGTAATTTGATCGATTGAGCATGCGAATTCTTTAGCTCGGATTTGATATCCCTGCTTCTCGATTTCTAATCATCTTAATTGAGGCGCCCAATTCAATTGAAGTAGAATTTGAAGGTTTAGAATGGTTCTGGATTGCTTGATCTCTCTGCCGGATTTGGTTATGGGATTATTAGAATTCATGTTTGTGAGGTGGGTAATGGTGGTGAAATGTTCTGAGAAAGAAGAATGAATGATTGACTTCGAATTTGCAAGGGCTAAATAATGCTATTGTGATGTGGAGAAATGCTGATACATTCAAATAATGGATTTATGCAGTTTCTCTATTCAGTTTCTTGTAATCTGTCTGGATTTCCTTTCTCTTAATTTCACTCTCATGTTCTTCTCAGTTTTGGGGTTGAGTAGGAGGTTACTCAAGAGTTGTGGCATCCAATATATTGTAGCAGGCATCATTATTTATGAAACCATTTCTTTTCCTTATCATTAATGGGGATAATGTTCTATTTTAATATCGAGTATTGTGTAGACACATGCTCATCTCTAAGTGAAGTTGATGATGGAGAAGTAATTGATGAAGTGGATACTATTCTCATTGTTCATTAATTCAATTAGTACACATTGTATCCCTTCATCTCACTATATTTTATCCATTTGAACTATTTTAAAGGGATAATACGATCTGTGGAGTTTATTCTCATTGAGAATACATGCAGCTGAATAATTGGAAGTGGGGAGTAGATTTGAAGTGAAAAACTGTAGATCTTTTGCCAAAAGCCAATTGCATTGTTCTTTCATCACTACCAGTCAGGAAGGAAGCTCCATGGCAATCGTCAAACCAGAGGTGCATTTGATGGGTGTTTTGTCAACATTAATTGGATGACAAATGACATCCTTCAAAATTTCATGCTTTACATTATTGTGTTCGGTGGTGAATAAATGCATTCTGTGTGGGTTGTGACTAACCTAGGGTTTTACTAAGCTAAACAAGCTACATAGGATAAGCCTTGAATGTGGCAGTGAAAAATATATATTGGAGTTATTATAAAAAAAATATGCGGAGTATTTCATTTAGTTGAATATCACAAAATTAAAGTAACTAAACCTCTAAAACTAAAACAACTATGACTTAGTGACTCATAATGACAATTATATTTGCATGGTGGGATTCATCATATCATAATGTATTCATGTTTGGGAGTATTCAAGTCAAATATTCAGTACAAAAGCAATGTTGAACAAACATTTGGTAGATAAAATGGGTCATGTATAATGGAGAAAAAAAGAGGTTAAGTAGAGAACGAAACAATGCAGTTTGGTATAGACTAGTCACTAGAGTGTAGGCATTAAAATTTTAGGGGTTCAATTGGTTTTTTAAAAGTCAAACAATAAGCTTCCTAAATGTTTAATGAAAAGCAACTTTTATTGTGCAGTACTACGTAGAAAACAGTCAATTTTGCATGCTAAGTGTTCAACCCTGCAGAATAGGTGTAAGCTACACCTGGTGCACCTCTAACAGGGAAAAATGTATGGGTTGAGGCGTGAACGATAGGGAATAGGCCAATAGGGTATTTATACCCACAGTTCCCTACGCATTTACTGAGAAAATAACATGCAATATATCACATAGTGTTTCTTGCATTTGTTTACATGTTTTGAGGTTTCATGTTTTCACTTATTAGTTGTAATTCTTGTTTCTCAAGATGAAGTCATATATCTGGCTCCAAACTGCCGATGGCTCGATTCAACAAGTAGAAGAAGAGGTTGCAATGTTTTGCCCTATGATTTGTAGAGAAGTGGTTCAATCTGGCATGGGTTCCTCCAAAAATTATGCAATAACACTTCCTCAACGAGTAAATCCTGCTATATTGGGCTTAATACTTGATTACTGTCGATTCCATCAATTACCTGGTCGTTCAAATAAGGTTTGTTATGGCTTCTTGTTTGCCTGCATTTGTATGTGTATTGGCCTGTTGGGGAAGGCAGCGGGGTTGAAGAATGGGGACGGGGTAGCTTTTATGCTCTGAGTTTGAGTGGTATCTTCTCGTTATGGTTGTAGGAGCGCAAGACTTATGATGAGAAGTTCATTCGGTTGGATACAAATAAGCTATGTGAGTTAGCATCTGCTGCTGACAGTCTCCAGTTGAGGCCTTTGGTGGATCTTACCTGCCGTGCGCTTGCTCGGATGATCGAAGGCAAAAGTCCCGAGGAAATACGTGAAACCTTTCATTTACCTGATGACCTTACAGAGGTGAGAGCTTTATCATGCAGTATGTAACATCATTACCCCCTCCACCCCACAAAGATATGTAACATTTGCTTTTGTTGATAAAAAAATGGTTAATTTTTACTAACGCTTTTAATCAATATATTTCAGTGTAAATTATGAATTTGTTTGTAGCTTTATGTGAGTATTATTGAAATAACATTTTTATTTTACTTTCTTTTATAAATCATTATGTATAAAAATATTTAATTAAATCAAAATTCAACATCTTTGAGTGAAAAGGTCAAATGTAGCCTGCCTTTGGGTGATGGCGGCGGTTCCCTGTTCAACATACTGTTTTTATACTGACATAAATGTGGGGTTTCCATCAGGAAGAGAAACTGGAGCCCTTGAGAAACATGACGGATGATCCACGGATCCGACTACTAAATCGACTCTATGCACGAAAAAGGAAAGAATTAAAAGAAAGAAAAAAATTAAAGGTGTGCCAACATTGGGGTTCCTTTGAGATGTGTTGTCCACCAGTGGTTTCATTCTTTACTCAATTTGAAAGCCTCATTCTTTCAGCAGTGATAGTTTAGTATTTTAAAACTAGTTGTATCTTCCAGAATGTTGAGACAGAAGAAGGGCAGTGTTTGGATGAGCGCTCCGTCGATGATCTATTGTCATTCATAAATGGTGGAGATGAAGGTATCCTAATGAAATTTTTTTAGTTTCCACATTAATGCTGCAAGAATAGTGAAGTTAGTTACTATTTGCACTAATTTGATGTTTTATTTTTCCCAAGTGTTTTTTTTAAGTGGACCTCCATTTTGGCTCACAATTCTTATTCATGTTCCTTAGCTGAATTTTGCATGACCTTTGTGTTTAGAATTAACTCTTCCATTTGATTTCTTTTTAATAAACAAAATTGTGCCCCCATTTTGGAAAAGCTTGCTATCCAAGCTTTTGGGACTTGCATTTTTTCTTCTGTAAATGCTTGATTGAGTTTTTTCTTTTTGCAGAAACAAAAGGAGTACGATCTAATAAGAACAAGAAGAAAAACCGTCGAAGGAAAGACCAAGCTAAAAATTCTTCAAATAGTGAGCATGGGAGCAATAGTAAGGTTGGTGAACTTTTATTCATGCACTCTTTCATGGCTTCTACTATACACACGGCTTATTACTATCTTTCTTGTACTATGCCAAGTGTCTGCTTTGTGTTTGATTTTTCATTTGTTGATCGGGATTCATCAGGAGCATAGTTGTCTTCCCTCCAATCAACCGAGTCAACCAACTTTAGACGTTCATGATTTGCCTTCTCCAAGTAGAATTTCTAAGCAGCAAGGTTCTGCATCTGTTAAGCTTTCACCTAAGCTTGAATTCGATGATGACGATGACGATGACGATGATGTCGATATGGATGATGAGTTAGACCCGGCAATGAGGGAAGAACTTGACAGGTTTGGTGGTTCTTCATTACTTGGATTTGTGTATTATAATGGGTAAGCTTTCTGTAGGGGCGGGTGCTTTTCGGGTGCAATTTAATTTTCAATCAGAAGATGCCAAATTTTCATAATTTGAGCCGGGTTTGAATATGATTGTGTTCACCCGCCCCAATAGACTTAATTATCAAAACATGGTTCAAAGCTCGCATTATGGTTGTGTTCACCCACCCCAATAGACCTAATTATCAAAACATGGATCTAAGCTCTCATTAACAAATGCCAAATCTTACCAAAGACCTGAAGTTTTAAATATGCTATAAATAAAGCATAAATAACCCATCTTTTTCAATGACTAATACTCCCTCTGTCCCATGAAATGTGAGACCTAGCTCTTGGCATGCAGAATTTTAAAAATGGAATTGTGTGGTGCATAGTTTATACTAAACATGTAGAGTATGGATGAAGTAATGCGGACTTTGGACCGCATTGATATTAGAAAGTGGATCGGGGGAAATGGTAAAAAGGGACAATTACAGTGAGGGAGTAATATTTACTACCCCCGACACCCACCCTGAAATGAATTTGCATTTCCTTCTAAGAAAGAGTATCATTTCTCTCGTCTTTGAATAAATCTCAACTACACAATTTTGCATTTTTCTTAAACCACGTGAAAAAGTAAATGGGTAGTTTTTTTTCCGGGGGGGGGGGTGAATGGAGCATATTGTAGCGATTTTAATATCAAGTAGATAATTTTACATGCAGTGATGGACACATACTTTTTCTCATATGCATGTTTTTTTGGATTATCAATTTTCAAATAAATAAATAAATGAACATTTATGCTCTCTCGTGGGGGTAAGGTCTGCGTACACACACCCTCCCCAGACCTTGCTTTTGCGGGATTCTACTGGGTTGTTGTTGTTATGCTCTCTCGTGGCATCCAATTGGGTTGTTGTTGTGCTCTGTAATTGATTCTTCTCCTATGATTCCATGCATGCATCAATCAGGGAGGTAGAGGATTTTGCACGGAGGCTAAACTCTGTGTGGCCAGATAGGATGCAGGAGCTTCTATCTTTAGGTCAAGAGAGGAGGCTAGTTGTACCCATATCCATGAACCTTAATGGCTCTCTAAGGAGATGTACAGATTAATCGCCACTATCATTTCCCGTCCCACAACACCACAACAGTGATTTGTTTGTTTTCTGAGTACGCCAATCAATTGCGCCGAGAGCTTTGTGCGTTGGGAAAATCTGAATCCTTTTCTGAACGTGGTTGGCTCTGGTGGGAGAATGACGGACGATATAAGGTGGCAGGTATTGGGTTTATACGACATAGCATGAAAGGGCAGGAGGGTAATTCGTGGTGTATTGTCTTCACAGTTACCCTCGTCCTCGTATAGAATTGTCATCTTTCTATAAGCTGAACTTTTTTTTATTAAAAAAAAGCGAGTTCTCAAATCCCCCCAGAGTCAGAAATTTTCCCCCTTTAGTGTATGAGAAAAATCAAATGTAAGGAATTTTTCATCTTGTGGTTTATGGCAAAGCCTTTTTAGTTCCTTTTTTTATGCATTCTCATTTTAGTTTTTCTTGTGACCACTTTGCGTTGGTATTCTTTTTACCTATATAATTTGTGTGGGGGTATTTGTAACTGCTCACATTTATATTTCCGGTTGGAGTGAGAAATGTATTATGTTCTCATTTTTATTATGTCATGTATATTTTTCTATTGATTTTTATTTAGTTCCAGTGAAGAAAAAAATGAACAGTTGAGTGTGATTTACAGTCTGGAATCTGCAGTCTTATTTTCCTACCATTTGAGCATTTTTACACACACATATTGACAAGAGCACTTCAGAGCTCAACTGGGTAGACTTTATATGGCATTTTTGGACTCTAAGAACAACATGGCTGAGCTGTACTTAATATCTGAACATGTGGATTATGCAAAGTAAGTTATGTATTAATGATTTAATTTGGTGTTTGGTTGACTTGTTTGCAGTTATTGAGAATTTTCGAATTGTGTTTTTGAACGGTTAATGTTGTAATGTAAAATTACAAATAGAAANAATGACATGTCCCCTTTACGGGATGTTTGGCAAAAGCGGTAATAAAACCAAACTAAATAATTACGACAAAAAAAGAAGTAATATTATTGTACAAATACGGTACATAAATTTTGGTGATCATTTTGTGCTCTTGAAGTATTCGTACAAAATCTCGAATTTCTACGAGTATTAACACGAAGAGAAAGATACACAACTTTTTAGAAGAGTTTTGAATGGAAGGGGCATGAATGAAGCATAAACAAATCAGCATTCCATTAGTAATCCATGAGAGGTTAATAACTATGACTCCATTAGCATGCACTACAGCTTCTCCTACAGGTGCCGTAGTAATCAGGAGAGCCAACCATGAAAACAGGGTTCCTAGAACACTCCCCAATGGCAGCCCAACGGGGACAATTGTCGTCTTCATCCACGCAATCATCGCTCACAATTGCATCCCTTTCGGCTCTGGAGACCGCTTTGAGGTAGAACAATTTTATGGCGTACCCCATTTTGCCCTCGATGACAGGACATCTGGCATGGGAGCTAGTGTCGTCAGGAGTTGCGTCAAGGTTGGAGTTGAAAAATAGAAGCGCATTTCCTTTAGTCGGTTTGATGGTGCAATTACTCTCCCCGCAATTGGATTCGGAACACTGCAAATGTGAGTTTTCAATTGAGTCTAACAACAACAATAATAACAGACACTGTAAAATTACACAAAAGAGGGAGAAGGTGACTGTACGCAGAGAGGCTGTTTCCTAGAGACCACGATTCAAATACGCACAAAGAAATCACCGAAGCACGAACTAAGTACGAAAAAGGACACATGAAGCTTACAAATCAACTATAAGACCTAGACATAAAGCACATGCTAGACACTAAGAAAAAAAACAAGAATATACTGCAAACTGAAGCCCGTGATAACAAATCCTAGTAACTATAATTGTGTCTGTATATGTCTTACCGTGGACTTGGGAAAAAGGATTTGGCCACCGGAAGTAACGTTGGAAAGGTATAATATCACTGTTGCCATTAAGGGTTCATCTTGAAGTTGTGTGGAGTTCTTGTCAAGATAACTATACGTTTGCTCGGGATCTTCACCCTCATATTGCAAAACCTTTAATGGCTCGCTATTCTCTGGGAGAATGGATAAAAAAAATCTATCACACTCTATAAGAAGATATGACTTCGAAAGCATTTTTGACAGACAAAAAGAATGAGAACAAAAGATACCTCTGGGCAAAAAGGTCCAAGCTGAAATTCTTTCTTCAATTTCAGCAACAATTGTTTTTTCCTAAATCAACCAAACATTCTATCTGAAACCTCTGGGCAATGATTGTTTTATCCTAAATCTGAAACATTCTATCAACCAAATATTCTATCGCAAAATTGCAGAAGAAGAAAAAAACAGTCCAAGCCAAGAACAAGCTCGGCCGAATATGAAACCTGTTGATTTTGAATGGGAACTTACAGAAGCCATCAATTCATCACACTCTTCCTCTGACAGAAAATCTTGGTATAAAAAGACCCTATCCCATGTAAAGCAAACAACATCAAACGTTTAGACAGACCGAACTTTGTAACAAACAAACTGATTGTATGTAATCACAACATTTTTGTTTTGGCCAGATTGACGAACGCTTGAAAAGAGAGACATACCTTGGATGCCATGAGATTTGTAGGACTCTTGAGGGATCGGGCATAGTAGGATTGGTTCGACCACCCGGCTTCACTTTTTGGTCTTGGATCACCTGCTTGATCCTTAATTCCTTTCGGCTGCGCTATCAAAAATTTTGGCACTGAATTCTCAACACGTGACATCAAGGTTCACTACCAATGGCCAATATATTATGAGCTTAAAAAGAAAAGTCTCAATATGTGATTCTAAATTCTAGTTCCACAAAAAAAATCTTCAATTGGTAGACGTTCACGAAATTTAAGAAAAATTTTGAAAGTAAAATTTTTATGGTTCAAATTTGTTTAGAGGAAAGACAACGGTTGTGAGTCAGCCATTACTTTCTTTAAATGGAAATGAATGAAGTCTGAAGTTCTTTTTTTTGGGAATATTTTTCATAGCCCTGTTTCGACTTTCGAATCGCCATTGCCAGTATTATCCAACCACACCCTCCATCTCACAGAAGTCCTCACTTTCCTTTTTTATCTGTCCCAAAGTAAGTTTATCAAATTTTCCATTTCTCTATTTAGAAAAAAAAATGTGGTTCAAAATATTTCTCTCTTCTGAACAAATCCAAAGTACTTGTTTTTCAATTTTCAACTATTCTCTTAATCTCCTTGAATTCAAAGGGTCAAAGTGAACAAACAAATAGGATCCATATGAAACAATCAAATCTATTGTTGAGGGCAATTTTGAAATGGGGGGAAATCCCAAAAGTTTTACAAATTTAATGACTAAAGACAATAAAATAAAAAGAAAAAGAGAAAAAAAAATGGAAAACTGAAATGCAGAAAAATGGATTTACTTACCTTTGGGAACGAAACCAATTGAAGCTAGTGGCAAGAGTGACGAGAATCAGAACTGAGAGAAGACGCGCCATTGTTGGCCAAGCAAGACGCTAAAATAGATACAGAAATGAAAAATAATTTATTTTTTTTAATCCTTTCGATTTATTTTTATAATTTTATTTTACTTAATATCTCTAGTGTTTAGTGAGAGGTCTGCTGTAGCCCAGGGAGAGACATGTTTTGGGTGGAAATTGCAATTATTAGATACTTGGGGGCCATTTGAAACTTTAGAAAATTGCACTTAGCTTTCTCTTTTGTCTCTCTCTCTCTTAAGGAATAGAACAAATAGTACTTAAAAAATTATTACTAGTATGATTTTTTTCTTGCATTAAAAGGGGAATAATTGTAATGATAAATGCTCATATATTCTTTCAAGTTTAATGATTCTCACGATTCCAACATAAACTTCTGGTTTTCTTTTTTTTATTGTATCAAAATAATTTCATTTCTTTTTAACGAATAAAATGAGTGGTCGATATTAATTTTTACTCTTCTACATACAATTTCATTTTTCCTTAAATGTATACTCCCTCCATTTCAAAAAGATTGTTAAAGTTTAATTTTTTTGGTCAAACTATGATACCATTTGACCATAAATTAAGTATAGTTTAAAATAATTAAATATTATAGAAATTTGATATTCAAAACTATATTTTAAAATAAATCTAATTTTACTAAATTTACATTATAATTAAATATACTTTTCCATATTTCGTGGTCAAAATGTGCTACACTTTGACGAAAAAAATCAAATTGTAACAATCGTGGGTCGTGACCGATCATCCCCTCTTGACCAGTCCATCCACGGTTAAGGCCGGTCTTATTAAGTCATCGGTCATCAACTCAGATCGATTGACATTACAATGCTATTTATGACCATGTCAATTGAAGGGGATATGTGATCACAAGACACTGAAAATTCTTGGATTTTCACGCGTATAACGGTATAATAGATTTTTTAAAAAATATATACAAAAGAGTACAAAACACAAAATCGAACATACCACAGTTTATTTTAGTAACATAGACTATTACACACAAGATCAACCATTATTTTATGTAATAATGTATATAGTATGTAAGATAATACAGTACAACAATCATACAAACAGACAAAATTTATTTACCAAAAATAATGAGAGTTTGGTTCATTGAGTAGGAGCATGCGACCTGGATTCATCATCCTTAACAAACAAGCGATCTATCACTTCATCCCAACTTTCTCGGCCTTTTCTGCTTATCTTCGATGATGTTTCAACGGGTGGAGAAGAAGAAGAACGTTTCTCCTCATCCTCATCGTCAAAGGTTCCATATTCAGAGGGGGAATACGCATGGGGCACGTCTAAGGTCACCGCTCTCTTTAGGGCAGCCTTATACTCCTTCCTCTGTTCTTTAGCCAGTGATTGTTGCCTCTCCATTCTCTGTGTTGCTGGGATCTCCATCTTGCCCTCCTTTTCTTGCATCAACTTTGCATCACACAATAACAAAGCTTATTTTAAAGAAGATGACTTTTTTTTTGGCAAAAACAAGCCATTTTTTGTGAGAAAAAAGTGTTCGAAAAGTAGGGACTTACATCCAAGGCCCTTTGGGCTTCTTTCTCAATCCATATAATTGCATGATCAGAAGTTGCATTACAAGACAGGACTATGTGTTCAAATCTCCCGTCCACGGGAACAGCTGTTCTTACTGTTGGGGGAAATCTTCCGCATCTGCATTCATGCACACGAACAGTGTATAAGTCCAATTTCCTATTGTTTTACCAGAACAAGCAAGCAAAACAAGTAGAGTGTCATATACCCAAACTATATACAACACATAAATGCAAGGCATACCTGAAAGGTTTTCTCTCAACAATGTGATAGAGGCGACCGGGTGCATACAGTCTCCTTAAATCTTTGAGCTTCTTCTCTTCAGATATGCACGTATCTCTCAAGCACCGGGCACATAGTAAGCATGGCAAACTGAAGAGAAGAAATAGGATCATTCAGAATGTTTAAAAAAACCATACGGAGAAGAGGATGCTGATATTTATAAAAAGGATGAAATTTTTTTGGAGTTTCAAGCATTTATTTACCAGAATAGTGACTTGAAGATGTCTTCCAATGGAGTCGCTGTCCGGGGTAAGAAATCATCCTGTTTCAGCGGTGAAGATGCTGTTAGATCTTTAGCACGTCCTGATGTTATTGTGAGTATACATTTAGATGAATATTCACTTTGTAAGAAAAACTAAGGACATAAATAAAGCTTTGGCATGATTTGAGAGAAATGAGTTTACAACCAAATCAATGTTATGATATGAGAAAAGCATAAACAGTAGCCATAACTGTGCATTTGGGATGACTTGTTTTCAAAGAATAAGCGCTTTCTGTAGGAATAAAAGTAGTTCAATTCCAAAAAAAAAATAAGCTTTTGGCAAGAAAACTAAATCACTTCTAGCAAAAAAATGGCATGGAAAAGACAGAGTGAAGTTCAACCACGTGACCGTGTTCGTTTTTAAAATTTTCATTTCTTTTTTTATTTTTAAGCTAAGTTTGACTAATGAAGTGTTGTAAGAAAAAAACGAGCATGAATTACACCAAGCAATAACACTGTAAATGCACTGGAAAGAATAAGAAACATACCTGAAGTACTACAGAGTTTATCACATCTGAATATCTCACTGCAAGATTAAGTGACATACATCTAGCTGGTGCAATGGCAAAGCACCTAACCCTTTTTTTCTCAATATTCCCCAACCTATCACGGTTCCTCACCGCCACTATTGTCAACAATGCCGCCACACCTGACCCCAGAGAATGCCCAGTAAAAGTCAGAGTATAACTTGGGTATTTCTCGACCAAGTCCTTCAACATCTCACTCTCAGCATTTAAAACCCATCCGGCTGCTTTCAATAACCCGTTATGAACATATCCTCCTTCAAATGACCTCTTACCAAGCCTATTGTCCAACAAAACCACATAATCACTCTCCTTTGCCAAATTAAGGCCTCTTATGGCAAGGACTATGTCGCCATGACCATGATCCAGGTACAACATATAAGGAGGCGCTCTTCCACAATTATCTTCATATGTTCTCTTCCTAATCACGCAATCTGGATTGATTCCATATCCTCGAGGGGGTTCCCATCGAGGATTTCTGAGATCATCCTCATAGACGGCCAATATATATCTGCAAAGCCTAGGGACGGGTTCGAATTCATCCGAGGCCGCAATGGCCCATGTTTCGCTTTCGTGGCCTGCGGTGTGGAGACACCTTTTCCACGCCCAACGGGCACAACCCATACAGCACACACACTCAATGAGCGGAGGGGCACCACACAGAACTGACATATCTTCCTCACAGATAGTGGTAAGCAAATGAGAGATTACAAGTAGCTAGCTCCTCAAAGATCAACCCTTAATTGTGATGCACAGAATCAAAATAAAAACAGCAACAATAGTACAGAACATTTACTGATTTGGGCAATCCAATCCTTATATGAATCAAATCAATAGGGGAAAATCAGGGTACAAGACAATATAATTGCAGAACCCCCACTTTCTTTTCAAAAAAAAATGTAATACAAGAAAAACCTAATAGCTGAAATGCCGATTAGGAATCAAATGGTTGGAAGAAATAGAATTGCAAACAAAGTGGAAATCATCTGAAGCTTTTGCTGATACCATGACTGAGAACTGATCGAGAGAGAGAGAACGGATAATCGAAATCAGCCTCTCCTCTTCTTCCGAGACTGAAGAAGAGAATGGAACATATAGAGTGGTAGATGAAGCTCACATGTTCCATGCGGGGATTAATCATTGCAGAGTTGTTTGAGAACGAAGAAGACGGTCAACTGTGAAACAACCTACCCATCCAATCTAACTCATTTTGGATGGAATACAATGGACAGATGGGTGACCAGAACATACCCATTCTAGAAGCCACTCAGCCACTGCCTCCTACGAGGCTCCGTTCATGAAATTGATGATTCCTACCCACCATAACCCCCTAGTGAACTCCCCGCCAAGTTTCGATCCAGACTACTCTCTCCACCTACGTCAATTGCGCCTCGCAAATATAATTGACTTTGAAGTCAAAATTTTTGACTTTATACTTGCGAGGTGCAATTGACGTAGGTGGGGGAGTAGTTTGGATCGAGACTTGGCGGAAGGTTTATCAGGAGTTAGGGGTAGAAATCATCAATTTCATGAATGGAGCTCCGTAGGGGCAGTGGCTTCCGTAGCCACTGGATTCTAGTGACTCTAGAACCGGATCTTTTTTATATTTGTTATGTTTATTTTTAATTGATTTGAGATTATTTCACAATATTTACTATGAATAAGAGAATTAGTCAACTACGGAGTATATGACTTTTTAGGGAAAAAAAGTACTCCCTCTGTCCCCCATAGATCTTCCCAATAGCCCTTTTTCTTTGTCCACAATAGATCTTCTCATTTCATTTTTTAACAATTAAAATACCACAACTACCCCTACTTACTTTATTTATTACACCTCACACACCTCATTTATTACACTCCACCCATTTTCATTAAGGGTATTATGGTAAACTTTCACCTTTTTTCAACTCTCCTTAAAAATCACCAAAAGTCAAAATGAGAACATCTTAGGGGAACGGAGGGAGTATTAAAAAATTAATTAATACCAGTTCATAATAAGAATCGAACCGGAATTGAAACCTGAATCATTTGGACCAGCCCTACACGACATGGGTTCTAGACTTCTAGTTCCCCTAAATTGGGTGACGCTACTTCGGTTTCGGAATGGATATCCAAACCGATCATGTACGGCCTTTCCAACAACATTACACTATTTTATACTCCCTCCGTCCTACAATGATCTTCCCAGAGCACTATTCAAATTTCACGGGAATTTATATTTATTTGTGTTTTTTCATGGCCTATATGATAAAATAAAATATTATTGTCACCACTTGTTTTGTTGAACTTTTGATGTAGTTTTTAAATATGTATGTTTTATTTTTTATTTCTATACCAATATTTAAATAAAATATAGTGAAAAAATTTGGGATTTTTCTTCGTTTTGCGAACCGGGAAGATTATTATAGGACGGAGGGAGTACTAAAGTCATCTTTTTTTAGTTAGAAAAATTAACTTTTAACTTTTTTTAATTTCTTCTAGTTTTTTTTCAACTCATTTCCATTTCTTTCAATTAGTATAAAATAACATTATGTATCCAGACTTATAACATATTACCACAAAACACGGACAATGGTAATTCCTTTTTATCTAAAATTAAAGTTTTCTTACATATTTATTTCGATGATCATTTAATTGAGTGACTTTGTTAACACTTAAATGAATAGAATGTCACACATTTAACCAATAAAAAATAATTCATTTGGCGTTTGACAATTGAGTGGAATGACGTGATTTGCAGTGGTAAATCATTACGGAGTATTTTTTTTATCACTTTTTATACTTTTTTATGTATTTTGATTAGTTAAAATTAATTTACTTATCTTGCTATTATATAAAAATAGTTATATTTCTTAAATCATATTTCTTGCACAAAACAAAAAGCTATTCGCGCATGTCTCGGACGATAAGGTGACACGGCTTTGACCGGCCATGATTTCAAAAATTTATTTACCTTAGATAACTCATCCAAAGTCCAAACGAGATCTAAGGGACAATTTGGGCTTGAACGAACCTTAGGATGGGAGTGTCTTTGTTTAAAGTTATTTCATCAATCACACTTTTTGTAATTATTTTAATAATGTTCACCATTAATTAATTAATTAATACAAAAAATTGTATTATATATGATTAGTATAAAAATAATGTTATCAAATTTATAATATAAAAAAAACTTTTATTTTATTCATCAATATGTAATACTTTGTGCTTGTGAAAGATGAAATAGTCATTATTAGAGTGATGCTTCATGCTTGTGCTACTAAAATAAATGCAACAATGAGTTTATCATGAGACAAGAATATGCAAAGATCAAAAGTATTACTGAGTATGTTTTTTGTCATATAACAAGTTTCATATTTTTGGTTTGTCCCCAAATTTCCTTTTTTTTCCCTTTCATTGGAAGAGGTTTTGTGGGTTGTATAATTTTTTTTACACTACACAAGCAACAACATATTTTTAACTTTACTTAAGATTTATGGTTAGAATTTGTTTGGATGAGAAAAAAAATTTGGTATGTCACATACTTTGTACTCCCTTTGTCCTAATTTAAACCGTATGTTTTGGTTTATGATGTTTGACTAGAGTTATTTTTAAACAGTTTATATGAAAAATAGTGTTGAATTCAAAAATAAAAATTACATATGTAAAAACTATATCAAAAGATTAACATAAATAGTGGTGACATGACTCTATTATTTTATCAAATGTCTAATGAAAATATGAAAAATAAAATAAATAAAGTTTGACCATGTGAATAGTAAATATGCAATTTAATTTGGAGCGGAAGAAGTATCATAATATTAGTGATTTTTTTTCCGAAAACAAGTCTTTTTTTTGACGAGCAGAATACTTTCGAGAAATGAAAAAGTTATGAATAATGCACTCTTTATTTTAATTGAAAAAGTAAAAGAAGGGATAAATTTTATTTGACACAATACAAAAAGAAGTGTTAGGAAGAAAATAGTAGAAGCTAAGAGCAACTCCAACCCATCATGTAATTATTAGTAAAGTCTAAAATATAAAAAATTAGAACTTTCAGTCATAATGGTTAAATAGACGGAATGCACCATGAAGTACATTACTACAAATTTTTAGTACCCCTGAGAATAATTCGAATAATGTGGGACCTGAGAGTTTTTATTAAAAAATCAAGAATATCTTAGAGTATATTTTAGATAATGTGAGACCTAGAAGTCATTACCAGAAAATGAAGGGTATCCCAGAGTAATTTTCTGTTCGAGTTGCTCTAAAGTAAAAATGGGCTCTTAGCCAAAACTTCAAAACCATAAATTTGGGGCCAAACTATCATTTTGCACACCCCTTGGTTATCCTTTGCAATTGGGCTACCCATAATAATTGGGCCAACACTAATTCAAGGTTTGGAAATTCGATTCCGTCCAACGCTGATTTTTAATCAAACCCTAAGAATTAGGAACATCGCGTCTGGTATAAAATCTGCCCATCGGCTCCGCCCAAACCTTCGACTATCCGCCGTTCTTCCGTATCCAATCCCAGGTATTGCCCATTACAGTTGATGATCTTTCTTAAAGATCTTTTGTCAAAATCTGCTAATCCTTAACCTCAATCTCTTGATTCTGCTTGAGAATGTTTAATTTTACATCTTCTGTGCTTAGATTGTTTCGCGTTGTGGTTTGATTTGATCTTGTTCGGCGCAGAAATGGCTCCGAAGCAGCCGAACAGTGGGCTATTCGTGGGGCTGAACAAAGGTCATGTGGTGACCAAGAAGGAACTCGCTCCGCGCCCATCCGACAGAAAAGGAGTAAGTTTTTCATTTGCAATTTCCTGATTCAATCGCTTGTTTTATTCGTGTTTTGCTTCATCTGCAGAGTTGTTGTTCTGCATATTTAAGTTTCTGGTGATTGGATTCTAGTCTTGAACTGTATCAATAGAAGGAACTAGATTCAAAGTTTCAATTAAGATGCACAAGCAATTTTGTGTTGCATAATCTGCTCCCATTTTTGTTTCTGACAATTTTTTCTCTAGGGCTAATTTGTGTCTCTTCATTTCCACTAGCAATCACTGCTTGGTCAAAATGTTTTCTGCTCCTCATAGCCTATGTTTAAAAAAGTTTTATGTCATATAACGTACAACATATGTCATACCCATTGCATTATTTTTTCTATTAGTAGTAGCCTGCTTTGTTGCATATCTTGTTTTTGGCTTTCAAAACTTGTCTTCTGCCCATCATCACTGAATATGCTTTCTGCTAATCTTCATGTAGCTAACATGTTTTCTGCCTATGATCACATCACCTATTTGTATGTTCTCTGCTTATTGTTACCTTCATTACTGGAAATGATGTGCCTCCTATTGTCTGTTACTGTATGTTTTCTGCATATCTTTGCCTATTTAGTTGTGTTTTTGTTAATTATCATGATACTTCAAGTTCCCATTACTGTATGTATGTGTGTGTGTGTCTAAAATGACACCAGTGTACCTCCAGGGTTGGGAGGGGGCGGGAGGGGGGCTGGGGTGGGG